CACTGGCGTCGGCTTGGGCTGTTACATTCAACGCGTTGTCGATTCTTTGGCACATGCGTGCCAAGTGCCCTTGTTTTCCACATTTGTAACAGTGCCTCCCACGCATTGAACAGGTCGCGCGCTTATGATTACGCTTTCCGCAGCACTCGCATGGCTTTCCGCCTTCGTTTTTCTTCTGGCCTCGCGGCACCCAGCGTTGCTCCTTCATTGCCGACACTGTTACCGGGGGCGTTTCTCGATTTATGTTCTCCGCATCTAACTCTGCACTTTCTGTCGCCAACGCAAATGCCTCTGCTTCTTGTAACGTCAACTCAGGTTTCGCGAGCAGCTGCTTTTGCAAATTTCTGGAACGTACCCCGCCCACGATACGGTCCCTTAACATCCTCTCCAGCATGGACGAGAAGTTGCAGTTATGTGCTAGGCACCGTATTTCCACAATGAATGCGTGAACAGACTCTCCTTCCTGCTGGTTTCGGTGGAAAAACTTGAAGCTTTCTGAAATTTCGTTTGGTCGTGGGTCATAATACTCGCTTAGAACTTTCACTACCGCATCGTAGCCGAGTGCGTTTGGCTTCTGCGGTGCCACTCTACCGCATAGCACATCAATCGTTCGCGACCCAAGCGCGGCTACCAACAGCCAACAGGACTCTTTTCCTGGCATCGTCAGTGACTTCGTTTGCTTCAAAATATGCCTCAACCTTCACGAGGTACGCTTGCCACTTATCTGTGTAGTCGTTGAGTTCCGGGAGGCGGTGATTCATGCCTGTCGATGGGTGGCTGCTTGCCCGCCTTCAGGAAGCAGCTGGGTCTCGTTCTTTGTTGAAATACTCGTCGCCACTGTTACAACCAGCCCCGCGGCTGGACCGCGCCCCGAAATGCACGAACAGAGTGGCTAGGGCAAAAAGAGAGCGTTTATTGTCCGGCTTGGGTTTTTATAAGAACGAAAGGTAAGGGAAGGGGAAGAGAGAGATAAGAGAGAAGGCGCGCGCAGCGTAGACTGGCAGCGCTTGTTTAGCGGTGGCCAACAGTTCGTGGCACCCATATACCATCAGCTCCTCCTGCCTCAACTGCTCTCCTATCTCTTCCCACTTTAACCGACTCCTGCCACCCTGCATCGTAATATAGCCTACGTCTGATTTAGCTCGGCCCCTGCGCTTACGTCGATTTTTTCTCCCACGGACTTCGTGTGGCTTGTTTATTATTGCCCCTTCAGGTCCTTCTTTGGCTACACTATTGGCCTCAGGGCTCTGGGTCTCCCTAAAAAAGCTATGGCTTGGCGACCCATTCTGTTACCGGCCCTCCTGCTCGTCGCACCACTGTAGTGAATGCCATCCTGTGCAAAGGGGCGAGCGCCGGGCTCGTACACTTCTTGGTTAACTTCCATTACGCTGTATCCGAGTGGCCGGCTCAAACACTTGTTCCCACAATTGGCCTCCACTACCCTCCTTTCAATCCCACGAGGCTGCCCCCGACCTCTGGGACTGTGCATATGGTCACATGCACACTCCCAGAGGCTTCTCGGAGCTTACGCATCCCATACTCTAACTTTCTCTGAAGGTTCTGATCCTTGCCCTTCAACACATCATTCAGCCCAGCATGGATAATGACTAGATTTTCGCCCTCCATGCTGTTTTCTACAAACTCCTGAGCTTTGGCCTGTGCATCCACCATGCTCTTCCCTGACTCTGCCATCTTCCTTCACTGTCTTGAAGACGCCATCCCTAACCCTGGCCACGTTAGAGTCCCCCACCACTAGGACCCTTCTACGCGCCAATCCCTGGCTTCCTGTTCGTGATGGCGCCCCTGTTTGCTTCACCTGTTTCTCTCTCTGCTATCTGTCTTGTGTTTCTGCCCTGCTTGAAGACTGTCGCGCCACCGAGCTGTATATTCTCGGAGCCTCCGTGCTGTGGCCAAACACTGTGGCCGCCTGACTTCCCTTCTCGCCTGTCCCTTCCCGCCTGTCGCCTTCTCCGCTACCCACGCCTTCCTTCTCACACCGCTCGGGGCCGGGACAAAGCGCCATTAGCTCCTTTACCCGCTGCTCTAGCTCGGTCCGCCCTTCCCGTCTTTTCGAAGGTCGCCCTTCATTTACTCTAATAGGCTCGCGGTAGCCTCCTCCCGCTCACGCGACGCTCCGAGTTGTTTTTGGATTTTTATTCTCTGCGCCCATTCCGCCCTAAGCTTCCCTGAAGCCCCTTGATGCTAGCCTCCATGCGCTGCACGGCCGCCAGCAGTGCCTCGCACAGCCTGCACACGAAGCTCGCCTTCTGCGCATCGGCCGAACTCGTGAATGTTGTCTCATCTAAGTAGCACAAGCGCTTGCATTCTTCGCACTGCACCAGCTCACTCTCGCTCGTGGTTTTCCTAGCATCCTTAGCCATCGCCCGCCCTACCATCGGACCGAGTTCCCGACAGGCCTACGTTCAACCCTAATCCCGCTATCCAGAGGCCTCCGTTAACTCTCCTATCTCAACAACTGTTTGAAGCTGCCGCCTAAACCGCACTTGCACGTTCATTTCCGCTAGTAGCCTCTCACTAGGTCCCCTTCGTGCTCGGGTCTAGCTCTTTAACAACTAACCGGGCGCCCCGACCTTCTTCAAAACAGCCGCCTAGCCCGTTCACGTGGTTAGCGTCACTACAACATTGCCTGTGTCCTGCAGCTACAGTACTCGCAACGCTAATATTTGTTTAAGAAAAAAAAAATAATGGTGTGCACAATCACAAAGCAATGAAGAAAAACTTATCTCTCGTTGCACGCTGCTTCTGCACCAACTGACCTTGCACAACCTTGAATCTGTCGAACAGGTGGAGCGCGCGAAAACACCTCCGCGCCGCTCGGAAGTAGCAACGTTTCTAGACTAGGTAAGTTGCAAAACTCCCCACGTCAGACTACTCGGCACACGGCGCCGAGACAGCTTCTGGTTTGGTGGCGCTGGCGGCGCAACAAGCTTCCGCTAGCAGACGAAAACGCGTAGCCGTCATGGCAAGACGCCGTGGCGGCCGTTCTGAAAGAGCTTACCAACAGTATATTATCGAGATTTGCTGTGCTGCCGCAGAAACTTAATACTGCGTAATATTTAGTGGTGTAAGGCAAATACAGTATAATTATGTTTTTCTGAACTGCCCACAACAAACAATGCTTGATATATATAGCATAACATACGGGTCTGTCGGTTAGTTGCTAGTTGGTGTACGTTCGCAATAGATCTTTAGATGCGAAAAACCCAATTACAATGTCTGGCATCCTCTTTTGTGGCTGTGTTTTTCGGGCTTGAAAATAAATTACAACAACGTGGCGCAATCTTGTGGCTTTTGTCTGGTTATGTAATCAGTTTTTTTTTTTCATGTCAGTCACATTCTTTAGCAATTTAGACCGTCAAAAAGCTACGCGTGCGGCCATTTTCTTGAGCATGTCTTCCCTCTGCTTCTTCTGGAGTTCCTCTAATGAAACCTGTTAACACAGCTGCAGCCAAAGCTTCGAGCAGAGACCGCACTTTGGGGTATCGGTGAGCACTCCGTAGTAATTATTCACGAGTCTGCCTGCTGGCGCATTTGGACAACATGTCCCGCCGCAGTGGTCTAGTGGCTAAGGTACTCGGCTGCTGACCCGCAGGTCGCGGGATCGAATCCCGTCTGCAGCGGCTGCATTTCCGATGGAGGTGGAAATGCTGTAGGCCCGTGTGCTCAGATTTGGGTGCACGTTGAAGAACCCCAGGTGTTCAAAATTTTCGGAGCTCTCCACTACGGCGTCTCTCATAATCATATGGTGGGTTTGGGACGTTAAACCCCACTTATCAATCAATTGGGACATCAACACAGTTGCAGCTTTTCTATGTCCTCCAAAAGTTCGGACCATTGGGTGATGGTATCTCCATTACCAGACGACTTGGCTAAGTGATGGTGACGGCTGCTAATGGTGACTGTCATGTCTTCTGCGACGACAACGCATTTCTCCACAAATAGCGCTCTTTTTTTTCTTTGAGCCCTAGAAACACCACACGACGTCTTGTCTCGCCGTTCTCAACAACTTTCCGCCAGCATGCAAAATTACGTTTTCTATGTCTTGAAGCGAAATGACGCCACTAGTTGACGGCATGTCGAGACTTGTTTCACTGTATTCGAGCTCAGTGCTCGAAGATAGTCTATTCTTTTTCGGCGATGATATTCTGGAAAATACCCCACTCCTATCGGGCAGCTTTTGCTTCTTTGTCGCGGGCCCCGCGACAAAGGTAACCGGGCGAATTCGGGAATATTCGTGGTACGCATCCTTCGACGTGGTCCCACTTTTCTCTTGCGATTTGTACCTTCTTACCATATGACGTGAGTGAAAGTCTTCAGGATGCCCTTCTCATGAAAGTGCATATCACACACACGTGAGGTGCTGAGGCAGTGTCTTATCTACACGAGGAATAATGTGGTCCCATACCTCTCGCTGCTCAGGTACACGTGGGCACAAAAGAAATGTCGTGGTGTCTCTTATTTCCTGCAGCTACTCTACAGCCGAGAACGCAACATCCGGGCATGATGAAAACACGCAACACATACAAAGCAGAACAGGGCGCGCTGAAGCACAAAAAATGTTCACGCAGAAAGAAGCCTCCACAGATATCGACGCACTGCAACATGCACAGCGATGGAGGTTACAGGAGTGACACGAGCGAGCTAGGTGGTAGGTGTTCTGTGGCTACGTGCTCTGTGAGCGAGCATGCAGTGAGTGTATCTGAATGCGACAGCAGCGCCATATTTGTCGCTGGCAGCGGCGGCGATGCGCAACATCACTGAGTTTTGCAGCTTACCTAGTCTAGAAACTAGAAACGTTGGGAAGTAGGGCGAGTCATAGAATTTATGGCGCGAGTAACTAGACGTGTCGGTCGTGAGCGGCACTGCGCGGCGCCTGCCCAAAACTAAAGGTAAGACCACTTTGCTGGCAACACGAGCCATTCGTCAGGCATCTTAATACAGGAGGCGTTTCCTGAGAAAAGAGAAAGGGTGAAAAGGCACGCACGCCTCTCTCAACGCTTCTAGTTAAACATGTCCGCGCCCACACCTAAGATGACTGTGTTGTAGCCGTTGTAGCCGACTTATATCAAACGTGAATCGAGTAGCCACCGACATGGCCCTTCTGCGTGTTGTGATTGTGCACTGCTGTGTGCTGGCCGCTTGCGTGCTGGCACAGTTCAACTGGCACGTGCGGGACAACTTCGACGACATTCGTATGCGCATCGACAAAGTACGCGGCGACAACTGTCGGGTGGTGGACGTGAACGAGCTCTTCTTGCCCAACGAAACTGTCACCCATGTGCCCAACATACAGAGGCTCAACATCGACCCCGTCTTCCCCAACCGCACCAATCTGTTGCACATACACAACATGGCTATTTCCAGGGCCTTCTTCTTCAGGTGAGCGGCGTGGCGACGCCCTGTTTTCCGCCGTACACTCATCGCATAGCCCGGATGCCCTATTGATCGGAACGTCCTTCTGGAAGTTCGTTGCGTCTACTAGCTGCGTTTGATTCCAAGCCATGGCACTAGAGACATTGGCTGCAAGTGCAGATTTTAAAACGGAAACACTTTGTTTCTTCAGATCTTTCGTCCCGGAGGAGTTCGCGATGCGTTGCCGCGGCACGTTAGGAATGGCCATGTTTACGCTTCTCAAGAGCGAATTCACCTGTGGGAAGGAGCTCGTGTGGTCCTTTCCGAAAGGCAGCATCGACAGGCCCATTTAGTTAGAAGCATGCGCCAGCGGTATTTCCGCGTTAAGTGGTTGTAGATGCCTCATTATTTAATGTCGATCATTGCCCACTTCCTGTTCTCCCGCGGCTCATTGACGTGCGCACATGTTGCCCGCGATAGCTGTTAGCCCAGCGTGCCTGTGTATGTAAGACAAAGTGAAATCACTTGGGGGTTGGGGGCATGACGATGCGGTCACTGACCAAGTCAGAACACGCGGAGATGTTTCGGCACCCGTATGACTTCTATAACGTCTAGCTCTCACCTTTACAATGATTGTATTGTCATACGTGTCATACCAGACGAACTTTCATTAAACTCTGGCCTACATTCCATTGATACTAAACAAAAATCTTTCAGCAACCCTTGAATACATCAGCCATTTCTTTGCAATGGAAAATCGGCAGGGTGGTTCCGGTATTAGTGTCGGGTAATACTCGCGTAATAAGTATCGCCCTATTTCGCTAACAAGGGCTTTCTTTAAATATTAGGTAATTTTCACCAACCTCATTACCTTCTTGAATTCAATTTTTTTTTTTGAACACCGGGACAATGTGGCTTTCATAAGCATTGTTCACGCGAGACACGGCTCACAAGCTGCGTCAAAATTTGGACCATTAAAATGTCCTGACTGCATTTTTAAAAGCTTTAGCAAAGCTTTTGACAGAGTCGGTCACCAACCTGAGCCTACTAAACCTTGACAACGATTTACTCAAGTGGATTTAGTGTTTTCTTTTTATTTCACAGAGTGCAAGTACGTTACTGCTAACAAACACAATTTGTCATCTGCTGTGGTCCACTCAGGCGTACCACAAGGGTCACACCTTGGTCCACTTCTGTTGATAATTTATATCAACTACCTAACATTAATCTTTTTGCAGATGAATGCATCATTTTTCATGAAGTAATCAGTGGTAATGACAGTTAATTTCTTCAGTCTGATCCTAACACCGTCGCAGCCTGGTGCAGCACATAGCAAATGGATTTAAACATTGGCATGTGGGTAACTAGATAATACTTTAAGGTCATCATGCCCGATCTGGTCAGCTCGTATAAATGCTTAAGTGTTATCCCATCAAGCCTATCTTGGGCACCTTACATTGAATACACTACTAAGAATGTAAATCGCATGTCAGGCTACATAGGTCATAACTTCTCAAAAGCCTAAACCTGCTTGCATGTAAGACATTAATACATTTCAAGCTTGAACTGGTACAGATATACGGAATATAAGAGTGAAAAATAGCACAATATTCTGACAGACTCAAGATAAACAAGGCACAACACGGCGCTCGTGTCGTGCCTTCATCTTGTGTCTGTCTGAATTTTGCACTGTTTTTCCCTCTTATAAGCATGAACCAACTTGCCAAGCCACAACTCTAGCAAGCTGTTCTGAATAACTCCCTCAGTTTCACACTTTCTAACTTTAATGACATTGCCAGTATATCTTCAATGAAATCTAGCCTAGGCCTTCCTTCTCTTGCATCCCGTCAAAAAATAACCCATTTGACAACTTTTCACCAATTATTTCCTCATTCCACCCATCACAACCAACTACATATCCACTATATTCAGTACATATCCCATCGTATTCGCAAACTTCCAGGTACCGTGGCATTGCTAAGTGGTGGCAGCAGGAAGGTCTGTTCAGATGATTGATGTTTGGGACCTGTATCAAACAGCAGATCTTGCTGCTTGTTTTGCCACGTTTGTGGTCATTTTTCAACGCTGTGAACAGCCTCGATATTACTGTAATCCTTTGAGTTTCTCAAGTTTTTGCGCTGACTTCGTCTGCTCGACACGGTCACTATGCGGACAGTACCAGGACTAAATTTGATATACATTCCGCCTCTAGAATAGAATGAAAGGACTGGTTTTAAAACGTTAATCGCATCATTACATATCTGAAGCATCTGCGAAGTCTGCTTCACAGCTACCGCAATTTGTGTTCGGTCTTACTTGGTGAGGACGCTTCTTTTTGACGTTTCTGCCCCGCACCATGCTATCTTTTATACTTTTCAAACACCGAACCATATAACAGTAACAGGAAAGTCACCTCTTAAATGGGAAAATTGCATATTACCACTGGTTTCGTTCACTGCTTGCAGACTTCATCCTCCTAAGATTCTGTTGTACAAGAAAGCACCCTAAAATCATATTGCCGGTAATATGACATGCCTCGGTGGCACCTTGTACTTCGGTATTCACAAACAATGTTTTTTTTTTCGTCTGCTTATTTACTTCGTGCTTTTAGGTGCAGCTGAGCTTCGCGCAGAATGCAGTGCAAGCAAAACTGTAAGATAAAGCACGTATCTGAAAATATTTCTGATACTATTGAGACATTTGTACTGAGGCTCCCATTATAATACTTTTCCAACATGACACCAGGCTTTGCGCGTGATTACGTACAGCCAGCAATGTGAAGAGCGTACGTATGGGCCTTATTTATAATTTTGCGCTTATTTTCCTACCCAATGTGCTACCCGACACTTATTTAATTAATATAGTATGTTAGCGCTCCCCTACCTTTTGAAAAACGTGAATCGAACGGTTACTGAAGCTCGAAAAATTGCACTCTTCACCAAAAGTGTACTTTCTGGTACCATCTCTCTCGGGGCGATCATCTCAACGACCGCTATGTTGGATGTACATTTGCGCCACCTATAGGTTGTGAATGTTGCAAATTGCCGTATTTCTTTCTGAAGCTTTGTTATTGACCCACTGCATGTGTAAATGCTGCCTTGAGCAAACTGTGCTGATTGACTTAGTACTATCGATATAATCTTGGAACTTTTCGATGCAATTATGTGCTTAACCGGAATATTACAGATTTTTCTGGAACTTACGTGCCCCTTAGGAATAATGCTGGGTAAACTGGTGCTCTTTGGCCGTGAAATGGCCCTTGTGCCACAATACATCAAACATCATCATCGGGAATAATGCTGGAATATTCGACAATGCGTGTATAAATGCTGTTGCGCATCACAGCTTGTCAGTTTTTTGAAGGCCCATTCACCGCTATCATTGCTTGCTTTAATCCAACTTTTCATGTCCCGGCCACGAGTTCGGCCAAATAAGGAATTTCCTATTGGACTCGTCACCTGCAGAGGTCACAACCACGTGACTGTATCAACCACTGTCTTGAGTAGAGGCCGTAATTATAGGTACTAAATATCGGGTTTTAGGGGCCAAAAATAGGCAGACAAAACAGAGTTCTAGGCCCCTAAAATCGTAAAAATAGGCACAATAAAGTATTATGAAAATTCCAGATTTCAGAGAAATACATGGTGGACCTGTGCATAGGACAGGAAAGCAATAATAAAGTTTTTAGTTTATGATGGTAGAAAGGTGCCAATGGTTTAGCGTAGCCATGCATTTTTCGCTTTTGCAGAATACGTTCTCCCCTTTTATTGTTCACCTTGGCGAGTTAGGTGAGCACCGCCGAATAAACACCCTCCTGGGTGGGTCTCTTTCTTTTTGGCATGGCTGAAAAGGGCATCACTAGAGGGGCAAACAGCTGGGCCATAAGTAGGCCAGGAGATTATTTTAGCCTCGTATTTACCGAGTGCAGGATCAATTTCTCCTCTGCCTGTGCACCCCTTAAAGGGCCTTTCATCTGGTTTGAGTTTTTCAAGCTACATAGAAAAATCAATGCACTGGCACTCACGATCTCGTTTGCCAAGGTTTGCACTGCCAAGGGCCCCGGAAAGAGGTGAAATGTCAGAGTGAACGCCACTTGCCCTTCATCTAACGGTCGCGTGCCTCTGCATGGTGTAGGTGACATCCAACAAGGAATAGTCCTGCGCAGGTGCCTCCCCCACCCAGAAAATATTTTTTTGCGTGCCATGCCCCCTCTTTAGGCAAAGCGTATGCCGCACCCCCCCCCCCCCCCCAAAAAAAAAACTTTGTGCTACAACGCTGGTCCTGCGTACATCAAAGTAGTACGTAACACTGCAACAGTGATTTGAGGCAACATGTGTAATTTTTGTAATCTGTTGCTTGAATAGAAAATTCAGCAACGTTAAAGGGGGGCAAGTTGGTAATAGTTAATGTTTACTTGTGCAGCAGCGCACTGAGACAAGGCACGAAAGGAACGAAAAAGACAGACAACTGCTGCATTCGCAACTAGTTTATTTCACAGAAAACATGGTTAATATACAACATGATAGTGTACTACGTGTGACAATGACGTTGTAGTGTCCGGTTATCTTCTAAAAAGGACATTTTGTGATTGGTTAAAACAACTGATGCTTGGCTGATGCAGTCATCTTTTTCTTTAAATGATATAGAAGGAATCAGTCAAACATTGGTTTTTCTAAGCAATTGTGACATGTCCTTTTTGGAAGATCACCGCACACTGTTTTAACTTGAACGTCATTGTTGTACCTAGTACGCTGTCGTGTTGTATATATTGACCATGTTTTTCGAGAAATAAACTAGTTGCGAGTGAAGTGGTTGTTTGGCCTTTTCGTGCCTTGTCTCCATGCGCTGCTTCACATGTGAATGTGTTTGAACAGAGGTGGGAAGATAGGTAGATAGAAATAATAAAACATGCAAATGGAATATGCACGCACAGTTTATTTTTTATTCTTTAAAATTTCATATCGTGTGAAGTGGGAGACTAAGCTGCCTTCATTTAGTTTGCATGGCGTTTCACCGTTCTCGCATCG